TTAATATGATTCCATCGCTAGTTAAAGTATAAGGATCAATTCCTAGATCTGATGCAGGTTTATGAAAAGACCTTGTGCAAGACTAAGTAAGAGAAATCTCAATCTTGACCATGGGTTCGACTGAAATTACTTCTGGTCGAGTCAGAACCGTGACTTTTTTCTAGTTACATATCGAAGATTAATTTGATTAAAAACCACTTTATTCTTCGATTATTTGCTTGAAATGGGAAAATCACAGCGTTCCAGGAAAGTCAATTTTCAACAATCATTAATGACGGTCAATGTTGAACTTTTGAACTCGATGATTTTCATTATCAAACACGTAGATATTGCCTTCTCTATCAAACGTTAAGTCAATTGGAGAATAGAGCTGATTCGATTGACTTCCTTGGCCATTTCCACCAATGATAATGCTTCTCTGCTGAGCTCCTTGAGACCAACGCATTATTCGATGATTGTACTGATCAACTACATAGGCACTACCGGACTGATCCACAAAAAGTTCACGAGGATTGGATAATTGACCAAGACGGTTTCCTCTATCTTGAACACCAGCGGCAACAATGCCTTGTTTCGCTCCTTTCATCCACTTCATCACACGATGGTTACTGCAGTCTGATACATATACTGACTGATCTCGATCGACGAATATATGTCTAGGATTATTCAATTGATCAAGACGATTTCCCTGACCGTTTCCACCTGCAACGACTGTTCCTTGATTTTCTCCCATTCGATACCGTCTAACATCATGAGCGCGAAAATCAACTATATAAAGATTTCTCTCATCATCCATAGTCAATCCCCAGCATCGAATATTTGAAATGATCGTTTCTCCACTTTCACCGTTTTGAGGAGACCATCGAACAGCTCTGTCATTAACATAATCACAAATAATAAGACTATCTTTTTCGTTGTCAATAATCGCACCTGCTGGACAATACAAGTGATCAGAACGATTTCCTCGTCCATTTCCCCCAGACACAGTGACACTATTTTGTCTCCATTTTGTATTCTCACTTAGAGTTGGATTTCGGAGCATCAAATGCCTCAATGTTTCTTCTGAATGATAATAGGCAATCAAATTTACATTCGAATTTTCATGGGTATTGCAGTGAATGAATATGTTACTCTCAGTGACACAGTTACAAAAAGGTGAATCGACCTATTCCTGCTGTATTTCTTTAAGTTCGGTACACTCACAGTATCTCTGCACTTGTTGGATTTCTTGGATGTAAATCATTTCATTCAAATCGATTTCTTTATTCGAAACAATAATGCTTTTATTTGTATCTTTTTAACTAAATCGTTCAACTACTGGTTGGACTTCGTTGATTTTTATTAGACGTCGATCAATATCATTTTCAACGAAATTTTCTTCTTTTCGACGAGTTCGAATTTCTTTCGGCTATTTTTTCTACGTTTTCGATTGTTGTTCTTCGCCATTGTTCAATTTGAGCGAAAAGATCTAATGAGAACTGATTTGATTTTTCTATTTTCTGAATTTGATCAAGAAGTTCATCATGAGATCTAACAACTTCATTGTCAAATCTTATCGACAATTGTTGTTCATGTTCTTTGAAATCTTTTGGACAAAAGTATTTCTTTCATCCAGTGCAAAAGTATTTACCAGAAGGTTTATTACAGACTGAACATAAGCTTGATTCTGTTGTTGTTGCCATTTCTCGTGTGAGATAATCGGTCGAATTATTGAAAGAACAATTAAAATACGTTGGGTAATGCTGATCTGAAATGACTTCGTATAAATATTTATCAAAAAAAAAGAATCAGCTTGTTTCAAGTGTCTCGTGTAAGTTATAACTTTATCTATGTATAAAAAACTGTTGAAAGTAAATTATCTCGATCGTCAAAGGAATTTCCTATACCCACAGCTTAATTGTCAAATATACTTTAATCGAGTTCGAATATTGAATATATAATAAATTCTATTTGAAAACGTGCCTGGTTTGTTAAAGTGAATATATTTAGTTTGATATTAGTCAGAATTCGATGAAAATATATCTACAACACCTATGCATGAACTTTCTCAAATATTACTTGATATTGTTTTCGAAGTACATAGCATACAATATTAAAGAAATTTCAGTGGATTGACCTGTAAATTAAAAGTCAAACTTTTGTTGATGTTGTTTGAGTAGAAAATGACACGTTGACTACTGATACATGCTCACTGATATTAGGGTATTCAATAACGACCTTTCCCTTATTTTTAAGTAGAACTAACTGCTTCGAGGATGTGGGTGTGGGCGTGGGTGCCAATACAAAGAGGGTTGATGCCCATCCGCACTCCCACACCCAATATCTATTATTTGATTTCTTTGAAGAGCTACAACTAAGTACGGAAAGTTCGGAGAGAAATATAAAAATAAATGAAATCTTCCGAACAATCAACAAAAGACTCGTGATGAATAAAAATAGTTAATTGTTAAATGAAAGAAATAGATCTCAAAGTCAATTACAATTGTGAATACTACTTACGAAGGAATTTATTCAACTATCGAATACCATTCGACTTCGTATTATGGCCATGATTATAACACTTTTACTGAAATGAATGGTGTGGATGGCTGTAATCAAAGCATATCACCTACATTCATATTTAGCTGTCAATTATGACGAGAAAAACTCGTTTTTCCATGATACTATATGCTGTGGATTATCAATCTTCAACAAATGCATGTCTCACAGATTCGTACAATTTGTGTAGTGTTTATTTTAATTTATCTACTTAATACTCGCTGATTCTTAACTGTAATAACGGTTATGCAGCTATCGTACTCGTATTCTTAAGCGGTTCATTTTCTGCTCAGTTGTTGTATAAAATGATGTAGATGCTGAAAAGTTCTGCTTCTTTTTTATTTGAATATGGATCAATCCCAACGATTTATTCGGAGAATAAAATCAAACTAGTTATGACCAGAGCACATGATGTCTTGAACTAGCGCATGTCACCGTTGAACAAGCTTTCGTCATAGATGAGTAAAACATTTCACACTTAAATGAAATATGTAATTTGATAGCAAAAAATTTTTGAATTGGATCACATTTAATTTGAAGTCATATTATTTATGTGCAAAATAGATACAAAAGATTTTTCCAATGACTTGAGAAAGTGATTTGCCCAACTATGGCTTTGGACTGACTAAAATCATCTTGGTTGGCGATAGAATGAATTGATTGAATGAACAGAGAAATAATGAATGCATCCATGTTTTCAATTAGTCGAAACATAATTGAAAGACATTATTCATAATGACGATCAATCATGATGAATAGACATGATATTTGATACTTGACTTGTCCGTTAGTGTGCATACCTGACTAGGCATGTTGAATGTTCGCATTCATTTTTCGCTTCGTTTTAACATTATATATATACTCACAACTACTGACAAAACAAAATCATTATTTAGATAAAATAATGCCTCTACCGTGTGCTATCGAAATCTGCAAACGTAAATCACGAGCATTATGTCATTGTTGCAACAAGAATCTTTGTCCAGATCATTTGAAAGAACATGATGATTTAATAAATTCACAAATACATCCTCTTGTTGACGACATAAATACTATTGATAATCAATTGTCGGCATTAAATGTTGATGAAGTTATTAGCAAATGTCGTCAAAAGTTGGATAAATGGCGTCATGATTGTTATGCTATAATTGATCGTTTTTATGAAGAAAAATATCAAGAACTTCAACAACGTTGTCTTGAAAAAGTTGGTGAAAAACGAAAAAAAATTCATAAATTAAAATTAAAAACCAATGAACTTGTTCGAGAACAAGAAGCTACACATGACGATATTACGTCGTTGAAAGCAACTATTAATGATATCAAACGTGACGTTAATCAATATGAAGAGAATGGCATTGTAGTCGATGTTCATCCCTTAATTATTAATCAAGATTTAATTTATGTTGAACAATGGACATCGAATGAACTTGATATATCAACTCTTTCGTCACCTTATCGAACCATTGCTTGTTCCAACGATAATTGGCCTGCACTTACTAGCAACAATCATTTTTTGTTAATAGATCAATATCCAAATTTATGTTTATTTGATAAACAAATGACTCTTTTAAAAGAATATCCATGGGAACATGATCGCATTCCTGATATGTGTTGGTCATCGATATTGAATAGTTTTATTATCATAACAAATAAAAATGGAGTTTTTCTGATGAATGAAAATCTAACAACAATTGAATGTATTCAATCGATCGAGAAGAAACAGTGGTTGTCTTGTACATGTTCAAATTCAACTTTATTTTTAACTACGAATGAATCGGGTTCTAGTATTTTTCAATTCAATCTTTTATCGTCATTTAGTTTTATGAAACAATGGAAACCTCCTCAAAGTTGTAACTACGACGAACTTATCCATAATATTGCTTACAACAATGAAACGCTTGCCTTAATAATGGAACACAAATTCAATCAAACAATGCGCATAGAACTTCGATCTTCATTAACATTCGATCAACTTTGGTCAAGCAACTTTTACACAACATTTTATTTTGAAAAATGGGTAAATCGTATTTGTTTACTCAAATATGATGAATGGCTTGTAATCGATCATAGGACTTCACATCTTTTACATGTGAGTAAAGATGGAAAAATAAAGGAAAAGCATTCATATCAAACATCAGTTAACAATGCTGTTTTATTTGGTACAAATACATTGGCCATCAAAACTGCTAATTGCGTCAATTTTTATAGAGTATAATAATAGAACTGTATCGTTGTAAATAAATGTAGATAGATCTATGTTGTGTATTAATTATTAATAAATATCTTGTTAAGTCTTTGTATGAAACAATTTTTTTTTCTATAGATGTTTTGAGCTAGGCAAATTATTTGTTTCTTTAGGGTATAGTTGTGACGATGTGAATGCGCATTTGGGTCTAAAGCGTGAGAAGGCACTCGTTTATCCGCATCCAAATCCATGTTCTATGGTAATCGCTTCGAACCAATGAGTGAGTTTTCAAACATTTATATTGTCAAGCAGACATGAAATGATTCGTTTTCGTGGATATTATAATGCCAATTTACAAGATCAAATTAACACTAGTTTGGAGCAGAAAATACAAGGACTGTGCATGTGCCTTTTTTTCTCGTCTCACCACACGCGGGTAGTTGAGTAAACGAAGCAATAACGCATTTCATCAAGCCTTGATATATAATGCCACTCTCAATCATCATCAATGGATATATTTCATCTCGAATTCTTTGAAAATGTTTAAACGTGAATGAAATCTTTTACAATCATTTAGAAATTCGTTTGAAGAAACGCCCAAAAATATGAAAATACTTTGTTCTTAAAAAAAATGCAAGAAAACATGAGAATATTGCATGAAAAACGTCAAATATGCTCCAATTAAAATTCGAAATGTTTCTTGCGGATATAGTACAATTTATCAAGTTTCAAGCTTCTTGCATGTATAATGATGATTTTATGAAGACTTGACATCTTCAGGTCGATCATACAATGTGTTTCTCTCTTCTATTGTTTTTCTTTGCATGCTTCGAACGCGTACTTGACACAAAGTAGCAGTTTGATTTATATCATGTCTTCTGGGAGCATACGAGAGTAAAATTTGAAGAACAAACGATTCATGTATCATTAATATTGAAAAGTGAAAGGATTAAAAAATAAATTAGCTATACAAGTCGAGGAGGTCAAAGTTTTCTCAAGGCGTATTCATCATTGATCAAAGAAGGTAATTTTCTAACAGTGCACGAACTCGAAACAAATTTTAATCAGTGCTTCAACAAAACTGAAAATCAAAGATGTGATAGTGTTACAAGAGAAAATATGGTAAACAGAAGAGCAAATGAAAGAATGTAAAAAGACAACTGAGAAACCGAAAACATATGTCGTCTGAAATGTGGCACAAGCTTGTCTAACAATGATAGCGACTTGAGTCAGAAATGGACTGCCGAAGAATATTTAGGACGTTGTGGTAAAATGACACTCAACCAGGAACAAAAATGAAAACTTTTAGAATGTTGTGA